ACTACATCCAACAGTAAGGCCTCTGATTAGGAGGTTTTGAGGAGTGTGGAATCACCTCTTAATTGCTGGTGGTCCCAGGTCTACCCCGATCCAGGGTGGTAGCACCTGTTAGGGTCCCCGTTATGGGCAAATAGCTAACCCCCAAACTGGGGTCAAAACACTATGAAAGTGTAAAAATAGGTTTTAATACCAGAGATACTTTGTCAAAAAAGTTATTACCAGCAATACATTTTTGAAAAACAAATATTACCAGCAAAGGAAAATTATTACCAGAAATAGATTTTTGAAGGAAAAAAAATGTTACCAGAAATAGATTTTTGTAAAAAAAAAAATATTACCAAAAATGAAAATTTTGTCAGCATTAAATAAAACATTGAAGTAGATATGCCATAAACCAAAACCAACCTTGGTAATATTTTTTTTAAAAAGCAATGATTCAAATTGAAAGTGGATTTATACAGTTTCTCTATAAATTCAAGGAAAGAAGTTTGTTTTTTGTTTTCTTTTGCAGTCATTCCCTTAGATGGGCACTTAGACATGGTGTAATGGTTAACAAGCTTGTCTTGCTAGATTAATTATAACTGAAATCCTTACTTTATACTTTTGACCTTGTGTCACTCCTAGATTGTAATTATAATGGCAGGGGGCTTAGGGGTAAAAATAAACAGAAAAGTTTAAATGGAGGAAACACAGGTAATTTTGACAAAAGAAATTTATTTGCGAATTTGTACACAAGTTGTGTCAGTAGTTCGTTTCAGGAAAATAAGACAGAATTCATGAAGTTTCGTTTGTCATAAAGAGGAAATGTTCATACAACAGATTAAATGATCTGACACAAAATAATATTAAAAAATGTTTAAAACTAAGGTTAGTGAATTTATTGCTCACTGAAGGGATATACATTTGCTTACATTCAAAAGTAGATGAAGAGAGATTGTTTGAAATACTTAGCTTTCTTGTATTGTTGAGAGAAAATTCTTTGGAGTGCCACATGCTTGGTTAAAGGCCGATAAAATAATTGGCGAGAACTTGAACACATGAACAGAAATAAAACTTTTCACAACATCAGGCACTCTTATTAATTTAATTTTTCTCCTTATTTTATATCAAAAAGGATTTTGCATAGGCCCACAATTTTCTTTTCTTTTCTTTGACTATGGCTAATTTCTGTGAAGACAAGGTTTGATTGGTCCAAAAGCAATTTCAGAAATTTATTTCTGCCTTTTAAAGTTTTCAGTGGTCCAAAGAAAATTTCACATATGCTCACAAATTTCTTTTCAACTTTCTCTTCAACTCACCCGAATTTGAAGGGAGTGGGGAAAATGGAGTTATTGTTTCGTATTCGCTACACAACCAACACTTTGCATAAAAAGGGGTTGATGATTATTCAGAATTTGTTGATAGAGAATTTGTCAGCATTCAATATTATATTTTCTTTCCTCCCTTACAATTAAATTATCCATAATACAATGAAATATTGTTATGTTAGAATGTTATCAATTAAGTATTTAAACTGATCGTTCTCGTATAATTGTAAGTCTGGTAAAAACAAAAACATTGTTCTCACAACATGACATCTGTTAAAATACAGAGACAATGAAGGGCGATAACTCTTGCATCCCCAGTTAATTCCCTTGTGCCATAAAAAGTCAGTCAGTTATGTGCCATGCGGGATACACGCTTAGGCGATCATGCATCTTTTGATACATGACTGACGGGGCAGATTTTTTTAGGTTGCCATTTCTTTCTACAGTAGACCAGTTGCCATCCAAGGCTATAAAGCCCAGTCTGTCCTGATATTTACCCATAGCTGGGGGAGAAGAAGAGGATTCATACCTTTCCCAAGGGTATTAGCATGTAAGTGAATGTAATGGATTCAACTGGAATTTGAACTCGGCTCTCTGGTTCCTCAATCCGAGCCACTATCCATTACACCACCATGCCTCAGGGCAGGCTTGAAAATGGCCATTGGATGAAAGAATTTTGTATTTTTTTTTTTTTTTTTACAGTAAGGTTCACCCTGTACAAGGCCACATGGCCGCTTGTGGTAAGGAGTTACATTAAGAAGCAGTTTCTAGGGATAGGAGGGGGAAGATAACGGTTAAATATGGCTCGAGTAGGTTAAGACTGTAGGATGGATGGTAGAAAATGATTTCTTCCCTAAAAGGACTTAGAAATGCTTTTGAAATCTATTGAGATTGGAAAGTGAGAACTGAGCAGCTTCTGCCCAAATATGACAACAATACTCCATTTTCTGGCCTGGTCTGACTCATGTAAAGGTAGAGGATAGCATGTGGGGGTCAGGCACTTGCTGGAGCAGTATAGGGAGCTAACTATTTTTCTTGCATCTTTGGTAATGGATCATATATAAGAGTTCCATTTGAGGTTAGAAAGGAGTTTAAGGCCCAAGAGTCTCTCAAGGCACAAGCCTCCCCAAGGAGACATCCGTTCATCATAACTGGAGGTAGTTCAGGTGTCTTTATGTTTTATATATAAAGCAAACATAATATCACAAAAAGGAAAAGTGTTTACATATTTGAATATTTGCAGGGTTATTTGTTTTTGTAATGAACTTTAAAAAAAAAAAAAAAAAAATCACTAGAATTCTTTTTGCAAGACTAATGTTTGCTGAAATCCTCAAAGAAATTTAGCATTGTTGAAGTTATTGCTAACATTTTTGTCAAGATTTACAAACTATATTTCATTCAATTTTGCAAACCAATCGATGAAATTTGAATAAGCTGATTTGTTTGGAAAAATACTTTGCCAAAAATCCTACTTCATGGTTTAACAAGTTCTTTAATTTTATAGGACTTCAAAGTAAACAATACATTTTAAAGAATTTTTTTTTTTTTTTACAGTGAAGAATTCTTAGAATTTCTTACTCTTGAGCATGTAGCATACAACTGGCCATGCGTAAATATTTCTTTTTGAAACCAAATTCCAACATTTTCAAGCATTGGGCCTTATGATTTGTTTATAGTTCTTGCAAATGCAGGGTGAACTGGAAACTGTATTCTTTATATATATATATATATATACACTTAAAAGATAGATATGCAAAAAATAATATTGCATTTTTGTTTTTAAAATTTAAGTATTATTTTAATCATTAAATTGTTTTTAAAAAAGTGAGAGTATTTTGTATGTTAAATAATAAAACTTAATTTTTCCAAAACAATTACTGAAAATTTATCGTACTAAGTTATGCACCTTAGTAAAACCAACACAGGATATATGTATAGAAATGTATCAGCTGGGCACCATGTTCATGGAAGTTGTACACACGCAAAAAAAAAAAAAATGTCAAATTAAAAATTGTTTTGTTTATTTTTAATTTAATCATTTCATCCCAAGCAAGGTGGGAATGCCACTGGTACGCAGGGGGTTAAAGAAAGTGAAAGTTAGAGAAAAGTCTGTGTATAAGGGGATTGAAGAAAGGATGATAGGGATTCAAGAAAACAGAAGATAGCGATTGATATTACATTTAATTTTTTGAACACTAGAGTTTTCAGGGAAGCAAGTAAACGGATGGGAGTTCCACACATGGGAAGTGTGAGAAAAGAAACTTTTGGAGTAGAAATGGTGATTACATTTATTTAATTAAACAGTTAAAAAGGTGGGACCAAGCTGCCAATCTAGTAGTACGCTTAAATTCATGTAGCTGGGGCACCAAGAAAAAAAAAGTTCATCAGAGCAGTTGCCATGAAAATATTTGTAGAAAAGACAGGGGGAAGCCACATCATGTTTGTGAGAAAGTAATTGAAATTGAGATGCCAAGTTGAGATTGGATTACACTGCAGATCCTTCTTTGGATTTTATCAAGAACCTTGAGATGAATAGCAGGAGCACCAGACCAAATAAGGCAACAGTATTTAATGCATGGATGAATGGAGATTTGTAAATGTGCATGATGGACTCTGATGATAAAAACCTTCTGGCACAACATAGCCACCCAACTTTCCTTCCGTCCTGGGTATGACGATAAACTGCATCTGCGTCCTGGGTAAGACGATAAGCTACATCCAACAGCAAGGCCTCTGATCAGGTTTTGAGAAGCATAGAACCACCTCTTAATTGCTGGTGCTTCCAGGTCCACCCTGACCCAGGGTGGTAGCACTTGTTAGGGTCCCACCTATGGGCAAATAGTTAACACCCAGACTATCGCTGTGTCCTGGGTATGACGATAAACTACACCCAACAGCAAGGCCTCTGATAATACGTTTTTTTTTAAAAATAATGTTGCTAGCTGTACGGTTTTTGAAAAAATATTTAAACTCAAGGCAAACGTATGTAAACACCCCCAATAATGGCTGCCAGGCTGTATATAAAATGCAAATATGGCTGAACATTGTTGATAACTCCTAAATGGTATTTGAGTGCAAACTTTTATTGTTATTTTTTTAAATAATCAGGCAATTTCACACCATAATGGAAAATTTTCATTACAGTTGGCTTTTGGTAATTATAATGAAAATTAACCAGATCATTTGCATTAACTGGATCCCGACTGCAATAAAAAATAATAAACATGGCGTCTATTTACAAACATGGGTATCCATTAAAAATAACATTTGAAGTAATAAAATGATCCTATATTTAATATACAAATTATCTTTACCAAGGAGAACAGTGTTTTAAGAAGAAATATTGGTATACAAATAATTCATAATTAAAAGACAAAGATTTGCCATACAGGAGGACTATAAAATACACATTGGCATTGAGCAGGAAAAGATTGATTGTTTTTTATGGGTTATCAGCTCTTTGACAGGAAAATATTTTTAGATTATAAGAATTTTTTTTTTTTTTTTGCAGGAGATAACGATTTAGTGATACAAGTTTTACTAATTAACCCTTAGGTGGAGGGAGAAGAGATGGATTCATACCTTTCCCCAAGGATATTTTCACATGAGTGAATATAACAAACTCAACTGGAATCGGAACTCAGCTCTCTGATTAACAATTCCAAGCCATTATACCACCTGCACATCCAAGTTTTCAGCATCTGGTATTCCCAAGCGGTCACTCATCAAAGTACTGATCAGGCTTGATGTTGCTTAACTTTGGTGATCAAAAAGGAATCAGTGTTTCAACATGATGTAGCTATGAGAAAAGTTTACAAAATTCAGAGAAAATTGTCGGTCCAATCCGTCAATTTGTTTTCCCAACACATAAGAAAGCGGCCATGATGCGTTGGAAGAACTGCACTCGGCAATTCAATTCGTGACCGACGAAACGACAACCTGGTAGGCGGGAAAACAATGGAAATGTGGCGCGTATTTGACACTTGTTGACAGAGCAAGAATTTTCGTCCATTAGTTGATGAATCAGGAGAGCATTAACTGACTTAATATTCAAGTCTCAGAGAACTTAGCTGAACTTAAATTAAACTTATTAGTGGATTTGGTATACTTAAAAAGAGTTAAATTGTTCTGTTGTTTTTGTTTTGTATGTATTACTCCTTAAGTGTCATGTCCCTTCTGAATATGAGTGACAATGGTGCTTCACAGGCTCGTTTTCTTTAAGATCTGCAAATTGTGCAATGGTTGTTCATGAGATGAGTAAAGAAGTGACATCTTGTTGACTTTGGCATAGCTTTAAAATCAGACTCATTCTTCTCTTTGACTGGGTGCCAATCAAGGCTATAGAGTCCAGTATCTCCTGCTACTAAGCCCATTGTTGAGAATTATATTGATGACAAGCACAGATATTGCAACTAAAGCTTTCTGATAGATTTTGATTGGTTAAATAATGTGATCAATATCATATGAGATGGTACTGGAAGGTTCCTGGACTAAGCCTTAACAAAAAAAAAAAAAAAAAAGCCAATACTCCAGTAAATAATTTATTTGTTTCATATATTACTAGCAGTAGAGCCCAGCATTGCCCGGGGATGTAACAGTAAGAGATAGATCAAGTATCGACCATCATAAAGACTGAAAAATAAAATTGACAAAGATTATTGTTTAAGGTTGATGGACACGCATGTCTTAATTAGTTTTATTTTTGCTTTTTTTTTGAATTGGTCAAACCCAAACTCAAACAAAACATTGTTTTCAATCGTTATGAGTCTATCAATTGAATAGAATTTATTATAAACAATTGTCTTGTAAATGGAATTTTTAAACATTCTGAATGTAAAAATAAAGAAAAAAAGTGTGCAAGACAATAAAAACACTACCTGCCAAAAAAAAAAACAAGTTTTGTTGAAATCGGTTGAAAATGTAGGAAATCCGATCCCATATATAAATGAACACACACACACACACACAAACAACCTGGGTTTTTATAAGTATAACTTGATATGAGTTGTCCCCTTTCATTCTGGCGAGTTATGCCTCTTAATCGTGTTTTTCAAATTGATTTTGTGCAAAAAAACAATTGTGTTTTTCCAATTTTTGGCGCTGTCAGAACCAATTGCAAAGGTAATTTTACGTAGTCCTGTGAAGTTGTTGAAATTGGTTAAAAATGTAGGAAATCCAATCCAATATATAAACGTACAGACACACACACACACAATCTGCGTTTTATAATAAGTAAGATTTAAATTTTGTCAGCTTTGAAATACTCCACATTGGAACATACACAATGATCCTAGCTGAGGGTACACAGCACCACACCACTGCTCTCTTGAGGATAATAACTTGAGTAAAAACTTTTCAGCAACACAATGTAATGTTAAGTTCAAATTTTCCATAGACGAACTGCTGGCAGAGACTATCTCTGATTCCACTTAGGTGAGGAGCAGCTGTATTATATGGAGATAAATTCTCGTGAATGCTTTCACACAAATTTTGTTTCCCATTCCCTCATGTTTTGATTGCTCACACTATGTGCTTGTCTTAAGTCGACACCCGACTGACCTTGAAACATTTGGGCCAAATCCTGTTAGGTATATTGCAAATAACTATGTTTCCTTGATGAACAAGGAAAATTTTTATAAGTTTATTTTTAGGATTAATACAAATATGAAATTTGTCACTTAGCTGATTCATGTTATATTCAGCACCCAACTCCAAAATTTCATAGACAAGCTTTTTCATAATCGTTTGGTCCACTTGTCAGGAGGTAAGTGTTCTTGCAGTTTTTATTTTATGACGACAATCTGTAGTGATTATTGTTCCAAGTGTTTTTAATCAATTCATTAGCCATTTTGAAGGGGTCCATTGTCAGTATGTTTTATTGTGCAGAAGTAGTAGCAACTCCAAGCCCTGCTGGGTGGAAGCCGCAGCAACACCAAGCTCCACTGGGCTGCGGTGCATGGAAGCCGCAGCAACTCCAAGCCCCACTGGGGGGGGGCGGTGCATGGAAGCCGCAGCAACAACAAGCCCCACTGGGGGGGCGGGGCGAGGCATGGAAGCCCCAGCAACAACAAGCCCCACTGGGGCGGGGGGGGGCATGGAAGCCGCAGGCAACACCAAGCCCCACTGGGGGGTGGGCAGTGCATGGAAGCCGCCAGCATCTCCAAGCCCCACTGGGGAGGCGGGGCGGTGCATGGAAGCCGCAGCAACACCAAGCCCCACTGGGGGGGCGGTGCATGGAAGCCGCAGCAACTCCAAGCCCCACTGGGGGGGCGGGGCGGGGCATGGAAGCCGCAGCAACTCCAAGCCCCACTGGGGGGGTGGGGCGGTGCATGGAAGCCGCAGCAACTCCAAGCCCCACTGGGGGAGGAAGCTGCAGCAATTTCAAGCCCCGTTGGGGATGAAGCCATAATAATTCCTTGTTGCAAGTGTCTTTCAATGACTGCCAACACGTTTTTGCCATTCTTAAATAGGCTAAGGGTGAAATGTTTTAAATAAATTACTTCAATTACCTTCACACATCTTTAGTGATTATTATCCCAAGTGCCAATTCATTAGCCATTTTTAAGGAGTCCATTGTTAGTATGTTGTTCTGTGTTGTTTAGGCATAAAAGTAATTCCATGCTGGGGAGGGGCCTTCAGAACATCCGTAACATGTTCTGGCTTGTTTCAAAACAAGTGATATTGAGGGTTGGCTTAAACTGCTTTATAAAAAATGCTTCCATTATTATTAAACAACTTTTACAATTAAAAAGGCTTTTAGAAGGGTTAGCAGTGAGTTCTATAACCATGAAGAGGATATCGGCACCCAAACTAACAGCATTAGTGTAGTAGTACCCCCCAAAAACAAAGCAAAAGAAAAACCAAAAGAAAAAACAAAAGAAAGCAAAAAAACAATAGAAAGCAAAAAAACAATAGAAAGCAAAAAAACAATAGAAAGCAAAAAAACAAAAGAAAAGAAAGCAAAAAACAAAACAAAAAACAAAACAAAAGCAAAAACCAAACCAAACCAAAAAACCAAAAACCAAAAAACAAAACAAAACCAGAAACAAAAAAAAGAACAAAACCAAAAAAGAACAGAACAAAAACAAACTGTAAACTTATAGTAGCAATAAACGCCTACAATAGGTTTCTTCTTTCTCTCGTCTGCATCACCTGTAGCCAAATCACAGTTCAAACGATAGTCCATCGTAACAGTCCAACAGCCAATGTAGAGACGACAAAATGGACTCACAAATCCAACCTTCACTTCTCACCAGCAAAAACGCTGTCCACCAAGCTCAGAAAAAAAATCCTACCCTCATAATCGAAAAACAACGGCTTTTATTCACCAAGTGATTTTTCTGATCGGCCACGCCATTCAGGAGAGGAAAGAACATTAGCATAGATTCTGATACTTAAAGTAGCAGATTTTTGCTAACTACTTTTGTTAATTTTCCTCGACAAATCGCTCACAAAACACAAACACTTTTTCAAGCTAGGTGATTATCTCTTTCACTACAATTAGATGGATAACCCCCTTAGACCCTGCCTTCTCCGACTTTCACTTCACACACATTGAAAAGATGTTCAGAAAAACAACCAAACTGCAAATCTACTCAAGCTACTTTGTGTAACAGACTCCCAAGGGGATGCTTTCCCAATCACTACAATCTTAACTTCAAGTCTAGGGTTAACTGTTATCTCTCCTACATAACCTTACAAACTTCTTATGTTCATACAGCTTCATTCAGTAACTCACTAACTTGAGTGGCTCTTGGGCCTTGTAATGGGTGAATATTAGAAAAAAAAACAAAAAAAAACGTTTATTTTGGGGGTTCACTAGCATAATCTTAGATCAGCTTTTTCTTCCTTAACCAGTAAGATCTGATTTTCTGCTACCAACTTTGTCCATTAACGTGCGGATGGCAGCTCTAATAGAAGACATCAGAATTACATTAACAGACTGCTGTCCAGACCTAACATAAGCCTACAACTGTCTGCTTTGTTGTCACTTTCCCCCAAAAGTTTTCACTTTTAATATTTTATTCTCTTTCAGTCAAAATGGTGGCTGCTTCAAAGATCCCACTTCAGACTTGATTAATGGTCATAAACCACTTAAGACAGAGATAAAAATCACACGCCACCCCCTTCTATGTGAGTGTCCCAATCATAGCATAACACTTTATAACCAGGTTTGTTTACAAAGAGTTTCTGTTTCTGGTAATAGAATACAAGACAAAAGAAAAGGTAATTGGCACGCTTCCCAATTAACAAGGCATTTTCATGAAAAGGTCGAAAAAGTTTCTATCAGTTTTTAACGATTTGCAACATTATCAGAAAATGAACACAGAGGCAGAGGGAATCTCCCTGTCACCCTGAAGAGAAGAAATAAAGCAAAACTAATAAAAAAAGTAGCCTTAATTCAAACTCATTTTAGTTCCACAGTCAACTGGAACTTGACCTTTAGCAATACTACTGAAAGACATCCTCTTATATAAAGTGTTTTGAAATACCAATGCTGGCTTTTCATTGGCTCACAATTAACCAATGAAATGTCAAGAGAAATACATCTTGAAAAAAAAAAAAAAAAAAAAAAAAAAAAATAGAGTTGTTTTTCTTCCTATTTTGATTTCATTTGACCAATTCATTTTCTATGGAGTCAGAAAATATTTATCTTTTGGATTTTAAGAAATTTTTATTTTAGATTTTAAGAATTTTTTTATTTTAGATTTAAAGAATTTTTTATTTTAGATTTAAAGAATTTTTTATTTTAGATTTAAAGAATTTTTTATTTTAGATTTAAAGAATATTTTATTTTAGATTTTAAGAATATTTTATTTTAGATTTTAAGAAATTTTTTTTTTTCCAGATAATAATTGACTTTGTGATCCAAGTTTTACTAATTATCTCAGTTTGGGGAGAAGACAATTAGAACAAATTGGCCCACGAGATAAAATGTTTTGATTTTCATAATTTTTTCTTTTTTTCTTTGATTGAATCATTTTTTTTTTACGTGTTATCAACCCTTTGTAGGTTTTTTTGTTGATAATAATGATTTAGTGATATAATACTTACTAATTAACCCATAGTTGGGGGAGAATAGGTGGATTCATACTTTTCCCAAGGGTAATATGCACACAAGTGAATATAATGAACCCAAATAAAATAAACTGCCCTCTGATGAAAAATTCTGAGCCATTATCCATTATGCCACCTGCACCTGGTATTCCCAAGTGGTCATCCATCTAGATACTGACTGGGCTTGATGTTGCTTAACTTTAGCAATCATATGGGAACTGGTGTTTCAATGTGATATGGCTATAAGCCAATCTTTCGACTTTATAAACCTCATCCCACATATGCCGAGACTTGATTTTGAGTGATATCACTGCAGGATCTCTTCTCAAATATTGGAAGTGTGGATGTAGCTTTTTCATCCTGCTAGGGTCTTACACTCTCTTGTGCAGATGCGGCAACATTAGGCACCTCTTGCAGTAATTGTTACATTTACATTTTGGTGAACTTTCACTGTGTGGCATCATTCTTGATTTTTTTATGCTTGCCCTATTGATACACAACCAAATTCATTACAGATTATATTGAATTCTATGCCAACATTCTCAGGGAAATTAACATCAAGATTGTGGAATACCTTTTGAGTTTTTCAAGCTCAACATGATTCTGTTCAAATCTCTTTTACCATTGTGGCCTGCTATCCTCCAGGATGAATGATCTAGAGCAAGGTCTCTTCATCTGTGAGAAGATTGTCCAGCATTCACTGCCATATAGGAGGACTGATATAACATAACAGTTCAATACTCTTTTCTTTGTTTCTGTTGCTTCAAGTCCCTTCTTCATCTGTGAGAAGATCGTCCAGCATTCACTGCCATATAGGAGGACTGATATTGTTGGATATCAGTTGCGAAAGACCTTTGACCACATTTCCGCTGCATCAGAGGGTGAGTGAAAATCGAAATGGTGGCTAAAATAAACAGGACGCCCAGGTGTCTTGAGCGGAAGGAAATGCGAGCTTGCATGGGCACATGCCAGAAGAGGTGTGGCCACATGCCAAAAGAGGCATGCCAACAAGAAGGCGACATACTGGAAGAAAGTGTAGCCACCTTTGACCGCATTTCCACTGCATCAGAGGGTGAGTGAAAATCGAAATGGTGGCTAAAATAAACAGGACGCCCAGGTGTCTTGAGCGGAAGGAAATGCGAGCTTGCATGGGCACATGCCAGAAGAGGTGTGGCCACATGCCAAAAGAGGCATGCCAACAAGAAGGCGACATACTGGAAGAAAGTGTAGCCACGTGAATTTGTGTGGGTGACCAAATGTTAAAAAAATGTTATAAAACCGGTCCAATTCTTGGTCTGGTCAGAGAGGCTGGCTCAATTTTCAAAGATTTGTCTCCATCAGTTCCTGTGTATGCAATCCCAACCTCTCCGTTTCTTCCTCATTCTACCCAATTGCCGCAACTCGAACAATAAAGCTATTTATATATTTTTATATATAAGTGTTCGTCGTCTTATTTGAGTCCAGCAGCAATATACTATTACATAACAGTTCAGCACTTTCATAGAAACATTTAACATTACTTGCAGCTGTGACAAGAAAATCTAGTAACAAAAGAGGCAAAGTCAGATTTTTGATTAACCCTATAGATACAATAGAAATGTTTTCTTTTTCTTCTCTCAAGTAATGTCTCAAAGTAATGTCAATGACCCAAAGCCTGGCAATTACGTGATCAGCGATGATGGTGCAATTAAAAGAACCACTTTAAAAACAGGCTTCAATCTTAGGAGTGGTAAGTTGTTTCGAATAAGAAAGTGATAATACTTGAACAGGGTGTGGGGCCCAAAGTCGTAATAGGCATTTGGCTGACAAAGACAACGGAAAAATTGGTTGGACTAACAGCACATTTAGTTCTGGGTTAGGTTTTAGCAGTTAATTTAAAGAGTGGAAGCCAGTGTTTCTACACACTGAACACTGCAAGAAGTCAAGTATTTCTTTTTTTTTTCTTCTTTCTAAAACACAGTATTAAGAAATCAAAAACTTTCATTAGAAACAAAAAAAAAAAAGAGAGAAAAAAAAAAGAGAGTGCTGAACTGCTACATACATAATATCAATTCTCTGATGTGGCAGTAAATGCTAGACAATTTCCTCACAAATGAAGAGAAAATGTGGAGTAACAGAAATTTGGCTCTGCAGAAGGATGCTGAGAATACCATAGACTGAATGTATGAGTAACAATGAAGTTTTATACAAAATGGAAACAAAAAGGTTTGGTTTGGTTTGTTTTGTTTTACAGCATATCAACACCTCAATGGGTTATTTAATGCTAACAAAATTATCATTGCTGGTAATTTTTTTTTTTCAAAAATGTATTTCTGGTAAGAATGTATTATTGGTAGTAATTTTACATAGTATTTCTGGTACATTATTTACATTATTCGGACTATTGATCTAATCTTTGTCACCATATTTATTACAACGTATCGGCCATTGTACTCCAGCCTTCTTCAGGTAGTTGGAAATTCGAACTGAACCCTTTATTTCGCTCAGTGGGCTAGACTGTTCTAGTTCCACACACCATATTTGATGGATGTCAGTTATCAGTTATCTCCTGTTAATTTCCCTCTGAAAGTTCTCCACTGCCATAACCAAGTATTGAACTCACACTCTTTGGGTCCTGTCACTGGATCTAACCGACGCCTTTATCCACTGTGCCATGTGTCCTCAAGGACACATGGCACAGTGGATAAAGAGTGTGAGTTCAATACCAGCTGAAACATAATATGGTGACAAAGATGAGGACAATAGTCCAAAGAAAAAGGAAGAAGAAAGAAAAAGGAAGAAGAAAGAAAAAGGAAGAAGAAAGAAAAAGGAGGAAGAAAGAAAAAGGAGGAAGAAAGAAAAAGAAAAAAGAGGAAGAAAAAGAAAAAAGAGGAAGAAAAAGAAAAAAGAAGAAAGAAAAAGAAAAAAGAAGAAAGAAAAAGAAAAAAGAAAAAGAAAAGAAAAAAAAAGAAAAAAAAAATTTTCATATAATTTTTAAAGTTCATATTTTGTAAAAAATCCCCTTGCCTATTAAATCAGAATTTATGTATTAAGAAATTGCAACACTTACCCAAAATTTGCATCTATGGAACCTGTGAAATGTTCCAAGGTGACCCTGAAAATCATGCTGCTCTTACCCACACCACCATCCTGAAGGAAGAAAATTGGGATAAAAAAAAAAAAAAAAAATTAAGTCATAACACTCACCAAAAGAATGCAATTGTTTCATAATTCATTACAAGAACCTTACACAATAAATTGTCATTTTTGGTTAAGGACTATGGTCAAAATTTAATATCCATCTTGCTTAAGGTATCTCTATCACAGTGTTAGGGTCATGTACAGGTTTTGAATTCAGAGTTGTTCTTCTCCTAGACTGATTGCCAACCATGGCTAGAGAGACCTTTTCTCAAGGGTATTTGCATGTAAGTAAACAAACTCAACTGGAATTTGAACTCTGATCTCCAATTTCTTATTTCAAACTGCTATCCACTGCGTCACCCTCACATCCTAGTATACTGCCAATCAAATTTAATTTTGTAAAACCGATTATTTCTAGAGAAAGAAAAGGAATAAAATTCAGTTTATTTAAACAACTGGATACAAGGTTTGAATGATTTCATTTTTATGGCTTATCAACCCTTTGAGTGCTATTTAAAGTTGAAACATTTTTAGGATTGTAAGAATAATTCCTTATTTTTGCAGGTGAATATTGCATTAACAAATTTTTGAGAAAGATTTTTACAGATACAAGATACTATTTAACCCATAGGTGGGGATGAGATAAATGTATCCCTTAAGGTTATTTGCATATAATTGAATTAGACTTGTTTAGAAATATATTCAATCTATATGTCAAAATTTAAAAACTTTGTTGGGATTATATATCCTAATTTTAAGACATAAGTAACTGTAACGAACTTGACTGGAATTCAAATTCGACTAATTTCTCCTTACACCACCCACTGGATATGAAGAATGTCAAAAAGTTCTCAGCCCAAACAAAAGCTATGAATTATACATGTAACTTGACATATTGCCCTTCAACTCTAAAGGTCAACACACATGGTGCATAGATTTACAAGTTTATTTAACCCTTATAATAATAATAATAATAATAATAATAAATGCTAGATCTTTGGTCATTGAAATACTGTTACTCTGACTGTCTATAATGTTTAGAAACAAGAAATTTTCAGATGTTGCAAGATCTGGTGAGTAGGCTGGATGGCCTCAGCACGAACAGCCATCCATCTTGAGCAGGTGTAGTGTCCAGCAAATTTTGCTGATCCAACTTGCAGGTTCTTTCAATGTTTACTTTAATCAGCACAGCATATTAACAGTAATACATTGTCTGCTTCTATGTGCCTTTAGGAAGTGGGTGATCATTACTCTCCACAACTTCTTGCCCCTTGTAGCTCTAAGCAATGCTTGACTGTTTACCATCCATCATTGTCCCTGTTCTGTTATTCATTCACTTTTTCTTTTCTATGCCATATGCTTTCAGGGCAATCATAGCTCTCCACAAGTTCCTGTCTTGTTGGTCTAAGCAATGTTAGATAATTGCCTTTTTTCCCTGCTTTGCCATCTATTCACAAGTGACAGAATTAATTTCAACTTGATTTAAAATAAAAGTTATCAATTTCTGTGAATTCCTAAGCAAAATGCAATGAGTTGATAATTTTTTAATTTAGCATTAAAATTTCTTAGTAGATAAGATAATTCAGAATTCATCTTTTCTGCAACTTTCATTAACCAAGAGTTGAAATTAATTCTGCACACCTATAAAAATGTTGAATTTTTCAGATTTTTAGTGGAATTTGTTAAAAAGTTCAGATTTATTTTTCCAAATTACTTTTAAGTATTTTCAGCATAGGTTTAAATTTAACATATCCCTTTTTTCTTTTTAATCATTATATATATATATATATATATATATTAAATACTTAAATTGATAGCAAACATCGAATTAATTTATTTGATTTTTTTTTTCGACATCTAAATTACTATCAAGCATTAAAATCTATTTTTTTACATAAATTGCTAAAACCCAATTACAGCCACTTTCTCTTTACTTCCCTCTCAATTCTTTTTCCTACTTCTTTTCTCCCTTCTCTCTCATTTCAATATATCACTGTCTAAATAGGTCATGGTCTGGTCACTCCTCCTCCCCCAATACAAAGTATGCTTGAGAGCGATATGAAATTAATCCCTCCCTAAACTCTACAATGTGTCTTTAACTATTCCTTTTACACACTGTTAAA